TATTGTATTTATAGTGTCCATTTATTTTTACTGATATTTTGCCATTTTTATACAATATAATTCAATGATATTTCGATCCCTTCCATATCCACACCTCCCCTTACTGCCTCCCACCCAATTTAATGTTCATTTCTTTAAAGTCCTACAATTTGTTGATATAAGACTGTTCATATTGAAATGAAACAAATCAGTTAAGGGAATGAAGATCATTAAAGTTCCACCTCAAACAAATATAAGTATTGATCAAAGTCTCCTATTAATTTCTGGTAGTATACTTTCAGTATTTCTAGGAATTAGAATATCAACCAACAGACTGCAGTTCCAAACTCTCTGCCTATGTGCCTCAGATCTTCTTGGACACAATGTAATTCTCAGTCAAAGCAAGGCTGTGCTTTGGGGAAAGTGACAGGAAACTACTCCCTTTTCCCAACATACAAGACAGTTTCCTTTATAGATTGCTCAAGGGAAGGATCTAGTTCAAGAAAGATTTCTTGAATTGGGTTTGATCCAAGTGTTCTAACAAATTAATTTATAATCTACTTTCCTTGTCTCTCATTGGAAATGGTGATAGAGTCATCTACACACATAAAAGGAAGCATGATTCTCCTCTTAGAATTACCCTAGAGATTCTGAATACAATTATGTCCAAGCTGGAAATCTTGATATTTAGTCCAGAAGATATCAAGTACTTTTGTGAAGATCACTGCTTATAGAATATCCAGGGATGTCTTCATTTACTAAGGTGAGAATGTAAAGAAAAAAGATTTGCTCTATATCAGAAGAGGCTTTAGGAAATCTATTTGAGTACTGATGAAGAGTTCTTATTGTACTTAAGAGAAATCTCAATTATTGGTTGTTGCATGATGTTAAATCTTAGTTTTCCCTTATTATGCAAAAAGTTTAATAGCTGGGTGCATCAATGTTATTACAAATCTTAAAGCAATGTCCTTTCATGCTTCATCATGATGGGACAAAAGGAGAAAATGCAAACACCTGCCTATGGTGTTTGCTGTTTTATTTGTTCCATCCAGAATGGGTCTGGACAAGTTAATTTTTACCAATTGGTCAATCTTTACATAGTTCTGCAATAATAGTATCTTTGTATTTGTATGAAGATAATTTCACAATAGGTAAGAACATTCAACTATTTTTGTACAATAAGCCCTGACATTATATTTACAGTTCTTTTTCTTGAAAAATGTGTTTGTATCTTTATACACACAGTCATCACCCTGAAAAACAGGAAATTATTTCTAGGCCAAAGTCGAACTCAAGATGTCAACCCTTAAAACACTGGACTAGGGGTGGTAAGCAAATATTCTTATGATATACTGAAATAGAGCCAATGTCTTATAAGCTATTGGAAGTATGTGAATGGAGAAAACTGAGGTGACAAACACAGAGGTTAAAGCATCAACTCAGACTCTGAAGCTCTGAATTCTCCAGAGTACAGATGCCATCTATACACAGTATGCTTGTGTTTAGTGCTGCAACGTGATTAATCTTCACTCACTGCATTTTCAAATAATGACAGTTATATGTACAACTGTAAAAAGATTTCTTACTTTATGTGTGTTGTATTTGACATACGATAATATTTTTATCACATTTAGATCCCTTCCTCAATTTTCACCACTTTACTCCCCACAGTTAATTTCATGTACTCTATTATGTCTATATCTAAATCTCTATATCTATTTTTATGCCTATAGAGTCTTGATATAGATTTTATGTGTGAATCTTAAAGTTATCCAAGTATATAGCTCTTAGGATAGATATAGCAAACCATATAAGAAACGAGTGTCTTATTTGCAGGCACCCAGATTCAGAAAATTGTTGTGTGAAAGTTCTACCATGTTTCCTAAAACTCTGTCATTTTTTTTCTCAAAAATTAAAAATAGCTAATGTTAAACGTATAATCATACTTTGCTACTGTCTCTATACTATGCAATCATTGAAAGCTGAAACTGTACAGCATACCAAATAGTTTAGTAACACCATTTTACTATAGTATAGGAAAAACTAAGCAGGGCAAGTATCTGCTTAATCATGATGAAATACAGTGCTGATAGTTACTTATGAAATATAATACTTATAGGTAATGAAGTGAAGACATCAAACATGGTACGAAATAAGACATAAAAGTACAATTAAATGCAGAATGGTTGTGCTCATGTCATTTTTCAGGTGTGCCCTTATCTTTCTCAAGTGCAGTTCTCCTGAATCCGATGTTGGCAGCAATGGTATTGGTATTCACAGAAGGAGTATATTGGCTGGTTTCTAAAGAAGCCCTACAACCTCTGTTCACATGTCCTACTCCATTGTTAAATTCATGAGAACTGAATCATCCAGCATACTCTAGGCAAGATGCACTCCCCACAGGTAATTATTGCCAGCGCTTATAAATGATATAGTAGATAATTCCTAAAGCATAAAATTTAGTCTTACATACCAAAAAAATTTTGATGAGTTACAAGGTGCAGACTTACTTATATCCTAGTCCATTGCAATAATTCTTGTTTCATGAAGAAGGATCTTGATAGTTTAGTTTCTTTGGTCATAGAAAAACACTTGAAATCATTAAACAGATGCCATGTTTAGACTTTCCAGTTGCTGAACAATGTTTGATGCATTCCTCATGTAACAACAGTAACAATTATAGCAAAATAATCAGATAAAGTGTGTGCTAAGTGTATTCTGCTGGTGGAAACAATGAAGTGGAACCATAGGGATGTTTAGTATATTGTCAAGGTAAAAAAATAAGTGAATAAGTTTCATGTCATGACACATACACATGATATGGCTCTATAATCCACGTTATTCAGCACTACTTTATGTTCACTATCTCTGAGAATTTCCTGGGTCTTTTCTGTGTATATTTTTATTGAGTTTTTGCACATTTCATATAATAGATCTTAATCTCCTTCCCCCTTCCACACTTCCCTATGGCCCTGCCCACCAGATTTCATGTATTCTGTCATGTATGTTAAGGCCTATCCAGTCAAGCATTTGTACTCATTTGTCCCTCAGTGCAAGCTAATTTACTGGGGTCTAGTAAGCCTATTTAGAGTCACTCCCATAATGAAGATCAACTCTCCCTCACTCAGGAGTAATCAATTACCAATACTTCCTGGGCCAAAGTTGCCCATTTCCACAGTTCTTTGCTGATATTTTGTCTGACTGAGACAGCATTGGTCTTGTGCATGCTGTCATCATTGCTTCAAGTTCATATGATCATGATCCCAGAGGCCTGAAAGCCTCTATTTCCTTATGTTCATGTACTGATCCCTTCTTCTTCAATGGCCCCTGAACCGGGGTGGGTAAGAGTTTATATAGGAGTCCTGTACGCAGACACACTCTGCAGTTTCTTATTGTCTATAACTTAGCCAGTTGTGACCTTCTGTGTGTATTGCACTCTGTTGTATGAGGAAGTTTCGCTGGTGTGAGTTGAGGGATGTATTAGCATTTTCTCTACCCTTTTATGTTCCATGAGACTGGATCTTATCTAGATATCCGTTAAATGAGAAAACTGGAGACGTAATTTGTTCTTAGTACTTGTCACATCCCATTTTCCAATGGTTAGCATTTTCTAACACTAATAAACTTTGAAAACTCATACCAGGCCATGCAAACGTGAAAAAATAAAAATGATTGTCATCAGAATTGAAAGAGGCAGTTCTGTAGAAATGCTGTTGTAGATAGCTTTGCTTTTCTGATTTGAAAATTAACACAGACTTTAAATTAAGTTTAGAAAATGACCATATCGATGCTGTCTTCTATCTACTATGGACTTTCCCTTTAGTGTGCTACTATTGGAGATCTGAACAGCAATCTCTTGACTCTCAATCAGGGCACATTGTCTATTAAACCAGTATCAACTCCCCTCTGTCTCACATGTCAGCTTCTATTGGCCCATGTTTTCCTACCTCCTTTATCCCAATGGTTTTAAAAATACACTAGTGGGCATGGTTTTGATCAAAATGCCTTATATGTAGGTAAGAAATTCTCAATAAATCATTTATATTAAAAAAAACCATATATGACAGAATGCATGAAATTGTGTGGGTGGACTATGGGGTAGTGCAGATAGGGGGTGTCTAAATATGATGAAGATGTATTATATGAAATGCACAAAAATTCACTAAAAATATACATTAAAAAATACATGAGCTGCAAATGGTTGGTGATAGTAATGCGCTATAACAGTTGGATTTGAATATACTTTCTCAAAATTAGTATGGTGGACACAAATGTGTCGTGATTTTGGCATAGGCAAGAGCTATAGGTTCTGAAAAACTTGAAAATCAGTCAGATGACATAGTTTCTCCAGATAGCATGTGATAAATAGAATTTTTAATTATTTGATCCAGTTTAAAGTGAAGTTGCTTAAAATTTAACGTGAGATCTATAAAGATCAAAAGTCTTGAGATATGTAAAGCAAACACTGGTAATGCGTTATCATAATTGTGGACTCAATGGCATTTTGGAGTAGAGCAGTTTTGAGAGTTACATTCTATTGTAAAGGTATTTCCAACCAAATGCAACTAACTTCAAGGAATGTATGCTAATTGATATACTTGGGGTTTATTACCACCCTAGAGATAAGATTCTTACAAGTAGCAACTGCTTCTTATTTGGCATTGCTGTTGCCTATGCCCAAAGTAACATTTTAAACAAGTCTAAGAGTATCAACAACTGTTATGTAATTTTCTGTTTTTTGTGTATAGAGATCCATTGCGATCTTGAGAAAGAACCTATTACTTATAGGCTTAATAAAGTCATCAGTGGGAAGAACATTATCATCTGAAGGTCTATGGAGTTCCATGGGAGGAGAACTTGCAAGATGTTTACTAAATGTTTACTCAAGTTTCGCCACTGTGGAATATAAGGATGAAGATATTCTCCATCTCAAAAATGACTCATAGACATGTTCACAGTTCATGGCTATACCTGTTTGTTTGAGCTCTTGCCTCTGAAACAAGACATAAATAAAAGAGTAAATGGGACAGAGCAACAATGTCACAGAATTTGTCCTCCTGGGTCTTACTCAGGATTCTTCTGGGCAAAAAGCATTATCTGTCATGTTTTCACTCATGTATATTGTGACAGTTGTAGGCAACTTGACAATTGTAGTGACAGTGATTGCCAGTCCCTTCTTGGGCTCCGCAATGTACTTTTTCTTTGCCTGTCTGTCACTCATAGATGCTGTTTATTCAACTGCCATCTTGCCCAAATTGGTTGTGGATTTAATGTGCAACCAAAAGACAATTTCATTCTCAGCTTGCATGGGCCAGCTCTTCCTAGAGCACTTTTTTGGTGGTGTTGAGGTCTTTGTTCTGGTGGCAATGGCCTATGATCGGTACGTAGCCATCTGTAAGCCACTCTATTATTTGACCACCATGAATCAGCAGGTTTGTGTGCTTCTGTTAGTGGTGTCCTGTACCGGAGGGTTTGCCCACTCTCTGGTTCAAGTTCTGTTTGTTTACAACCTTCCTTTCTGTGGGCCCAATGTCATTGACCATTTCATCTGTGACATGTACCCATTGTTGGGACTGGCATGCACCGATACTTATTTCCTTGGCCTCACTGTCATTGCCAACAGTGGGGCAATCTGTATAGTGGTCTTTAGCCTTCTCCTAGTTTCCTATGGAATAATTCTGAACTCTCTTAGGAGTCACAGTCAGGAGGGGAGACGCAAAGCCCTGTCCACCTGCAGCTCCCACATCACGGTGGTTGTCCTTTTTTTTGTTCCCTGTATTTTCATGTATGTCAGACCTGTCTCCAATTTCCCTATTGATAAATCCCTGACTGTAGTTTATACAGTCATCACTCCCATGTTGAATCCTTTAATATACACATTGAGGAATTCAGAGATGAAAAATTCTATGAAAAAACTTTGGTGTGAAAAGTTAACTAGGGACAGAAGACAAATGTTTCCTTGTTGACTATGTACCAAATGTTAAAGCATCAAACAAGCAGTAATTCTAACAAAGGATTGTATAGTCTAGACAGTGGATTTTCTGGGCATGCTCTCTTTTATGCAAACTATCAAAACTGAAATTAATTTTCTTTTGAGATTAAAATGAATAAATTGCAGAATTTCTGGAAGATGAACAAATGTTACAATGTTTTTACACTATACATAAAGATAGAATTAAATTCAGCTTATAACTTTTTTTAAAGTTCCCTTTGAAATAGGACTCAGAAGAAAGTGGTTTATTTTCAAAGCAGTTAATTCAACAGCAATGTTAACTTTACCTGCTATCATGAGAAAAGTGTACAGGGCATATTTTATACTGAACACTCTTTTAAGTTTACTTTTTTGCCTTGGATCACCATCTACCATGCATTTCTAGTTCTGGATATAACAGATTATATTGTGATTGGCTAATGACATGATCAGTAAATGGTTTTGAAATGTGAAAACTCACCTATGATTTGTAGCTGGTTGTTTTGGAAACAAAAAAATGTGTATATTTAAGGAATGTAATCGTTCTATATATTGATAAAAATTAATAACATGAAGCAAATTTAAATATCCACAGTGCCATTTAAAATGTTGTTATAAGAGCCACTATAGCATATTGTTTATTGTTAATGTTGTGTATAGTATATTTACCAGCTATATTCAGAATATCCGTTAATGGAAGGATATTGTGGATGAAACTGTACAGAATGAGCAAGGCTAAAGATCAAGCATACAGAAGTTTACTGTTCCAGCAGAAAAATGAATCTTAGGACTTTTATTTTCTAAAGTGTTATATTATAATTTTCTGTATAGCTAATAAATATGTAAGTTTTGTAAATTATTATTTATATAGAAAAAATAAGTTCTTTTGTTTACCTACCTGTTGCCACTCTTTCCCTCTCCCTTCCTATTAATCATACTGAAATTAGTTCAAGTCCAAATGCTTACTATCTTAGAATGTGTGATTTAAATTTTCTTATTATTTTTATTAAAAGTATGCAATTTATGAATGTTTTCAATCCACCATATTTATTTTCTAGGATTTGACTGTGTTGTTGGATGTCAGTTTATCATTCTGTTGTGGATAATTGCCCGTGTGATGCACCACAGTTGGTGTTACTCACATTTGTCACCCACACTTGATATCCCGTTTTCCTTTTTATTCATTCTGCTTGGAGGCTTTCTCTTGTTTTTGCAAGAGTGACTCCCACCAGTAGCAAATTAGAGTTTCATTGTTCAGTAGATGTATCAACATGTAATACTGTCAGTGGTTTGATGCTTTTGTGAATGCCATGTTTAGAGGAATTAATTTACTTTATTGTTATTGAAATTGAGCATAGTTTCCCACGTACCTAAGTCCGGCATAGACTTTTTAATATTTCCAATGAGTTTTTGTCTTATTTTTCTATACTTGTTTTTCCATTACCATTAAATTAGCAAAGCTCTAAGTATCCTATGTATTAATTCTTCATTTTTATTACCATCACACAGTCTTGTCTATTCCTTTTTACACCATTACATTTGATGGATCTTAAATCTCCTCCTTTTTTTGTGAGACCAAGGTTCCCTGCAGCTCCAGCCTGCCTGGAACTTACTATATGGACCAGAATGGCTTTGATCTCACAGAGATCAATGGTGTGTGCCACCATACCTGGATCCTTGACTTTTAAAATTATGATTTGTCATCTGTAGATGTAGCACAATAAAATGAAATTTATTCTTTGACAATTTCATATCTGTATACAACACATTCTGGTTATTCTCACCCTATCTTCTCTATGTCTGTCCTTTCCACAGCTGCTCATCCTTATCCCTACAAGCCCCTTTTACATGTTCATGTCTTTTTGTTTTGTTTTTTGACCCACTGAGTTTAACCAAGGTCATATATATGAACATGGGTGTGGAATTACTTATTTGAGCATTGTAGACTCACCAGTGAGTACACAAGTAAAGAAAATAACTCCTTTCCCTCAATATCTATCAGTATCAAATAGTTCCCCAAGAGTGCTTGGGTTCCATGAGTACCTCTGCCATTCCTGACTCAATGCGGACAAATACAGTGTTGTATAAGCCCACTGCAGGCAACCATAGCTTTGTGAGTCCATGACTTCAATGGCCATGTCACAATCCTCCTATTATAATCAAACTCATATTATTTCTATCCCTCTTCTGTGATGGTCCCTGAAACTCAGGGTAATAAAGACATCATTTTAAAGACTGCACTCTGAATAGGCATGTGTTCTCAGCATCTTGAGTAGCCATGAGTACCTGTATTCACCACCATTCAATGCAGAAAATGTATCTTTGATCATGGTTGAGAGCCACATTTTATATGTGTATAAACATAAATATTTAGAAGGCAGCTTGACACAATATCCTTTTAACAAATCAATAGCAGTAGATTACTCCCTAGGGTCCTTAGACTTGTGTTTAAGTTCTCTCCTTTGAAATGGGCCTCAAATCCAATCAGAGAGCAGTTGGCTACCTATGTGACAGTAATGCCACTACTGTGTTTTAGTTCTCTCCTTTGAAGCAGGTCTCAAATCCAATCAGAGAGGATTGGTATGATAGTATGTAGGTCATGACTGGAGAGGGCTGCTGAAAACTTTTCTTCTTTACCAGCCTGCATAGCACCTTCTGGTACTACAAATGCTAGCTAGCTGGGATAGAGGTTATAGTTCAGTTCCAGCTTGATCTATCTCCTATAACCGAGGTTGGTGGTTTCTACCACAGGAGGAGCTTATCATCTGCTTCTGGTTGACAACCAAGAGGAACAACAATAACCTGTATGGTTTGGGTTGTTTCTGGGGCCTTTTTGACCTTAAGCTCACAGGGAGGTACCTGTAAACACTGGGATTTTCATTTGATCACCCAAGACTTCTGTGATTGGCATTAATGATGCATGTAGGGTACCTAAGTGTTGACTGGCCCATTCTTGTGACAATCCAGTACAGGCAGCCACAGTTGTTGTGAATTAATGATTATTTCTGTGTTTTTCCCAGAAGATAGTTTTGCACAGCCCTTCTCCATATTTTCTGGCTCTTAAGTTCTTTCTGCCTTCTCTTCCACAATATTCACTGAACCTTATTGGGGATGGTATTAATATCTTCTTTAGGGATGAGAAATCAACCTTCACCTATTCACAGGACCTTGAACAGCCATTTATTTCTGTATTCATTGTCATTCCTTGGGAAGATGGGTTCCTCTGATTAAGGATCAGAGTAGCATTTTTGTATAATAAACACCTATTTAGAAGGCAATTTGACATTACCTAAGTTTAGTTAAATAACAGTAGTTAGTTTGCCTCTAGAGCCTACGATTTCCCCAGTCACTGGCTTTTGATAGGGTTTAAAACACCAGATATAGATTCCTTCTTGTGGACTGGGTTTCTAATCTAATCATAGAGTAGTTGGTTGCCTCCATTATAGTAATATCACTATTACACAAGTATGCACATCTATCCTCCCTAGTTAGTGTTGTTTATTGCAGGATTAACAGGTGAGAAAAAACACTGTTGTCTTTTCTTTCTCAGTAGCCAGCATAACAGCTTCCAACATTATAAAAGCCAGCAGAGAGGGAGACTGTAATTCAGTTACAGCTTGACTTCTTTGTATCCTGCCATCAAAGGGTGTGGTGTCTTCAGCAATAGGGTCTTAGCCTCTAATTCTGATGGGTAATAGAGAAGAATAGAATGAGTCTATATTATTTTGGGAGCATCTGGGGCCTTCCTGGTCAACAACTCATGAGTTCTCATGAGTTTTTATCCTTTTTGTTTAGTAACATGTGATTTTAGGAAAAGGATTGTCCAGCCTTGCATGGTATCTCCCTTCAAATTCTTATTTGTGAAAAAAAATGTATATATTTTATTTGGGTTATGAGATAGTATATTTTCACATGAACTTTCCATAGATCTTTCAATTTGGTTAAACCTTCTCATTCTCTTTCTTCCACTGTACCCCCACGTGCCCCCTGAATAAATGTATACATCCCCTAGTTTTTCCCCTGTCTATGATCTCATGTTTTACTAAGCACCCTATTTTAAAGCAACTCCCATATAGCCTCTTCTAAATCGTCCAGATTCTAGAAGTAATCTAGTTCGAACATACATAATTAGAAGCTAAAAGCTAGGATCCACATATGAGAGAGAAAATGCAATACTTATTTCTGTGCCTGGGTTACCTCATGCAGTATAATTTTCCAGTTCCATAGTTTATCTGAAAATTCTGTAATTCATTTATATTTATAGATGACTAAAATTCTACTGAGCATATGCACCACATATTTTATTAACCATTCTTTGGATCATGGACATTTATGCTGATTCAGTTCTTGGCTATTGTTAATAGAGCTTCAGTAAGCATGGAAGAGTAATGTTCTCTTTTTAGCATACAGAGTCCTTGAGATATCTTCCCAGAAGTGGTAAAGCTGGGTCATATGGTAGTTGTATTTATGAAGTTCTGAAGAATTGTCACACTGATTTCCAAACGCTCTTCTTCAGTGTACATTCCCATTACAGTGAATAAGCTTTTCACTTTCTATGGTTCTTTGACAGCATTTCTTGTCATGTGATTTCTTGAAGTGTCTTCTGACTACTACTAGGGTGAAATAGAATCTCAAAGTATTTTCAATTTACATTTATCTGTTGGCTAAAGATTTTGAAGATTTTGGAAAATGTTGGCTAGCTGTATGTATTTCCTATTTGTTAATGTTTTTAAAAAATATTTATTATTTATTTTTGTGTATGAGTGTTTTGCTTGCATGTATTAAAGTTTACCTTTGTTGTGCAACATCAGTGGAGGCTAGAAGAGAACATCAGATATCCTGGAACTGGAGTTCCAGTTGATTGTTAGCCACCATGTAGGTGCTGGGTACTGAACCAAGGACCTCTGCAAGAGTAACCAGGGCTCTTGCCCACAGAGTAATCTCCCCACTCTGTTCCGTGCTCTACTCCAATTTTCATTGGTCTACTTTATGTTT